AAAATTGTTTTGTGAATTAAATTTTACTTTCAAAATGCAAATATCATTTTGGCCGTGGTTTTCTATTTCATTTATATATTTTAAATATAAATACACAAACAAAAATATTATTGAAGTAGACGAAATATTATATGAAAAAAAAGTTATAATGAGAAGTATAAGAACAAATTTGAATTTCTGATAATTTATAATTTCATATTCACTCATGAATTACGTTCTAAAAAGAAATTGGTCTAGTATATTTCAGTGTACCTCATTAATATTGACATTTAATTAGGATCAATCCAATAGTAGAGATCTCTTTTTATATTTCTCTTCTCATAAGACCCAACCCTATTGAAGTATGTATAAATAATTACGAAAACTTGTTTATATTAATTTTATCTTGTCTACTTAATTATTTAAATTTTGGAATATAAAATATTCATCAAGCATGTGAACTTAATAATTCAGACATGACACTCCACGTGAACCACTTTCTTCTTATTCCTTCTTAATACGTATTTAGATCCAAATATTCTCATTCCAATACGAATAATTGAGTGCTAGAAGTTGCATTTATTAACAGACATGGTTAATAGTTTTTGGAGTAAGTTACGGATTTGATTCATGTGGTTTACATTTTTTATATGGATAGTACTTTTGGTATGTATTTTTGTACATACCGGGTCCCTTCCTTTAATAAGATCAAAAATATTATGTTAGTCCAATTAAATTCAAGGATATTTTAGTCTTTTTATCTATATTTTTATTTTTAATCCATTAAACAATTATTACTTGATATTATAGAATTGATTAAACAAATAAAAGTGTACGATACGTTCCCCACCACCTCCGGCCACCACACCATAAACCAAACCCATAAACCATAAACAAATAAAATCCCACTATTCAACCTCAATAAGAAAAACCGTCCTATAAACCCCAAATTAGAACCCGAAAATTAACTTTGGATTTCTTAAATCAAAATCCAAAAGCTCAAAACTAAAACCCTCATGGAGAAGACGACGTTGCTCGAACCTCTGGTTTATTTATGTTTGGCGCAGTTAAATCAACGCCAATTTGAAACTTAGAATCGATTTATATCACATACAGAGAACCTATCAACCTCAAAAACACAACACGACAGATGTGTAAATCCATTTCAAAATATAAGATATAAAACCCTATGAATCAAAGACACTAAGGTGATGTTTACCAAACGCTTACCTGGGTAAGCGCTTACCAAGTCACTTTACTTTACCGGATGAATATGGGAAATACTAAAAATCTTACCCGGTAAGAACGAAGACAAGAATCGAGAGTCTTACCCGGTAAGTGAGGACGAGAACTCTTACCATGGTTAGCACTTACCAGGATAAATTGTTGCATACGATGCGTTTTAGTAAATAAAATCTAGTGATAGTGTTGAATTTTACGGTAAATGCTTATCGAGTAAGTGTTTAGGTAAACGGCCCCTAAGTCTAAAGATAAACAAAAACCCTAAATCATAAGAGATGTAGAAGCAGAAAACAAAAACCCAAGGTCTTTGCCTTAAGTTGCAGAAACAGAAAATATTATGAACCAAAACCCTAAACCTGAGAATTCTTCTTGTGGAGGTGTAAAAGAAAAATGGTTCGTGGATCTTGCAGTGAAGAAATTGAGATGTAAAAGAAAAAAGTAGATCTTGTAATGAAAAAATGATTCATGATTCGTGGATCGTTAAGGGGGAGAGGATGGGTCATGCTTCACCGACGAGATAGGGGCAACGACATCCTTGGTTCATGCATTTGGAACTTGCAGATCATGTGGAGACACCGTTGTTGGTCGTGTGGAACTTGTAGATCGTGGATTCCTTCCATCTCTTTCCCTATTTTTCTAAATCTTGAAATCACACGAAATCCAAACAAAGGTGCGAAAATGCATACCAAGGATACCATCCTTGTATATATTTTGATTCTAGGACTACTGTCGGTAGGAAGTGTAAACCACAAGGACCAAATCCGTAATTTACTCTAGTTCTTGTTACAATAGTAATTATAATGAAATGAAAATTGGTTATATGGTTTGTATTTACTTTTAAAGTAAAACGACAAATTTGGTCCTTATGGTTTGTCAAAAACAACATTTTTCGATCCTTATAATTTTGAAATTACAAGATGGTAATCATGGTTTGCAAACACACATTCGGACTTGGTCTCTCATTCTAATGATCGTCAAAATATTCCGTTAAATAGGGAATATTTTTGTCTCTTTGTTGATTTTTTCTATTTACCCATTCAAAAACCACATGGACCAAATCATAAAATCGATTTTGACTGGTTAAAAGATATAAAATTGATAAAAGAGCAAATTCGGACGTTTTTATAAACTATGATGACCATCTTATAGTTTCGAAATTAAATGGATGAAAAAAAGTCATTTTCAACAGATCATGGGGACAACTTTGTAGTTTACTCTTGCTTTTATATACTATGAAGACTAAAGAATTATATTTGATCTCATTATCGATCCTCTGTATCTTAATGCAAAACCTTGTTTTTGAGAATAAAATAATACAAGGGTTATTTTTTGATTTGCGTATAGAAATGATAGAAGACTATTACATTGATCGACTAACGGATTAAATTCCGTATGGTTATAATACGCTCAAATAGCATGAGGAGGGAAATGAGGGCGACAATGGTTGTCTGGGGAATTGGAGCCTGAAATTGAGGAAATGAGAGGATGTAGGAGATGAAGTAAGAAAGAACTCAACACAATTCTTCAAAATTAAGGTGTGTTTTCTTATGTCAAATTCACATATTAGTGGGAAACGTACATGTGGATATGGATTGTAACGACGAACTGGAACGAAAATGAGGGGGGGGGGGATGTTTATCACGTTATTTTGCGAAACATGGTTTGATACATTTATGTTTATGCAACGTGTTTCATGTCATGTATATGGTCTATGGTGCTATATATGGTACATGTTTTACCTGGTTTAAAATCATATCAGCATGATAGATAAATGGTAGGTTATTGATGCTTTACACAAAATAGTGTTTTAGCTGTTGTGTGATCACTAACCAGGACACCGACATCGCAAACAGGCTAGGGTGCATGTCGCGACTCATTTGAACCAAACGGATTTAAATTAACAAAGATGCATGATTTCATTACAAGGTGACACATATGATATACATGTGAATATAAAGTATGTGACGTTATGTGACCGAATCCATCTGAGTAGTTATATGCGTATAAGCAGTCAGACTCTTGGTATTAGAAACGAATAAGAGAAAATTTTAGTTTTATTAGACTTATACTTCTAATGATTTGGTGTTCGGATATTTGGTTGTTTTATGGTTTTAGTTCGATATGAAACAAACAACGATCATTAAAGTACTTTTATAATTTTTTAAAGATATAAATTTTCGTTCAAAGTTTGTAATTTGGTAGAATACAATAGGGAAAATAAAAAAAAAAAACAATGTTACGAGACGTTGGCCACGACCAGCAAAACCATAATTAAATAGATTTATTTGGTAAAATAATTTGGTTTTTGTTTTTGATGTTAATAATTTCAGTTATATATCTTATTAATTCTTTAAGAGACTGTTTGACAATTGCTGAATGTTTTGGTGTAGAATGATTAAGAGACTCTCATGATATAATGTAAAATGAAATATAATTGTTTTGTAATTGTATACAATGAAATTAGGACTCTTAATGGTTAAGGAAGATCCATGATACAAAATCGTTCAAAGGGTTTTAGAATTATTAAGAGACATATTTTTTTTTGCCAAACAAGATTCACCTCTTAACGATCCAAAGGTTGTCGGTTAATGAAATTATTAAAAGGTGAACAAACAATGCCAAAATAAAATCAGCTCACTCGTTTATTAAATAAGCATTGAATGTTAGATCATGCTAATTTTTTATAGGTTTTTTTTCTTCTATTTAAAAATTATCCGATAACAAATTTAAATATCATAAATTAAAGTTATTAAAAAATGTAGGATAATAATGGACTCATGTTACATGAACTATAGTGGATTAAAAGAGAATACGATACACACTTTTTGATGTCAAAATCAGTTTAATTAAACATTAAATACATGAAAAATAAGTTTTTATATTGATTTGTACGAAAAGAAAATTAGTACATCAAAAAAATATTTTAAAATAGAAAATCAAATTAAAATTTCCTAAAAAAATTATGTTTATTTCCAACAATTTTTTATTTATTTTNATTATTATATTGCTCTAAAATAGAAAATCAATATTAAAAAATCTTTAAAAAAGAATTACATTATTAAAATATTTTATATTTTGAAGGTTAAAATCGATTATATTATATTATTATATTGCTCTAAAATAGAAAATCAATATTAAAAAATCTTTAAAAAAGAATTATATTATTAAAATATTTTATATTATTTTTTTTTATATTTTATTTCAAGGATTTTATAGAAAAACTAAAAAAATGTTTCACTTAAGTAATTATTTTGAAAAATTCTTCAAATTCTTCAAATTTTACTATTTTATCTACATTTTAAAGAAGATTTTAAAGAATCTATTGAAACACAAATCTCAGAACATTTGTTTTAAAGAATCTGTTAGAGATACTCTATTGCATTTAGTTGAGTTTTAGTGAGAAAGAGAATTAATGTGAAAAACGTAAGAAGATATATATCTACCATTAGATTCACATTAGGATGTAATATACTGGATCAATTCTTGTATCATGATTCATTGATGAATTTAAAATTAAAAATAATTAGAGATCCAAAATTTCTTATTACTTTTTTCCTAATCTTTCGCTTAACAATATATAGGAATGCATTTATTTCGACGAATAGTTAAAATATTCAGAAACCTATTTTTAAAGGAGTGGAAAAAGAACGTAACCGACAGACAGCCTTAAGCGGTGCGATCTAGTGCCCTCATCCCTACGCTAAATCACCAACAACCGCTTGCGCCGCGTCGGTAGATCAAAAGTGCCACAACGAGTATCATACTCGTGAGAGTAGAAAGTGACAAATATCTCCACTTCACACAGTTAATTGCAAGCAAGTGTGTGAAGTGTGAGCCTCCTCCTCCCTCCTTTTTCCATCTCCTTTAAATACCTTCCCCCGTTCCCCCAAAAATCCTCTCTTCGACGCCGGATCCGATCCAATCCAATATCTCGAGAGAGAGAGAGAGAATCTATACTGCAGAGAAAAGCGGGAGAGAGAGATGGCATCGACTACGGCGAGGGTAGATCTGGACGGAAATACGATAAAGCCGATGACGATATGTATGATCGGTGCCGGAGGGTTCATTGGTTCACATTTGTGCGAGAAGCTGTTGTCGGAGACACCACACACGGTGTTAGCTGTTGACGTTTATAATGACAAGATCAAGCACCTACTTGAACCGGACTCTCTGCCTTGGGCCGGTCGCATTCAGTTCCATCGTCTTAATATCAAGAATGATTCTCGTCTGGAAGGGCTCATCAAGTGTTCCGATCTGGTAAACTGTCTATCGCTTTCTCCAGATGTGTTTGTTTTAGAGTCTGTTTTTTCTAACATGAATCTTTTCGGATCTTCATGTTCACTTTTCTTGCCTCTAACTCTCTGTTTGGAATGAAAAATTAGGTTAATAGGTTTTATTAGTCAGTTTCATGGTTCAAGTGTGTGATATGTTTGGAGTGTAAGATAGTCGAGAATACATTAAGCAAATGCTAATAATGGTTAAGTACCTAGTAAACTGCGTGATCTTGTATCCAAGAATGCAGATCGGTTTCAAGTATTACTATTTTGTGCTGAATTTTCTAATATCTGCCTTTTTATTTGTATTTAGACGATAAATCTGGCGGCTATTTGCACTCCAGCGGATTATAATACGCGTCCACTTGACACGATTTATAGCAATTTCATTGATGCGCTCCCTGTGGTATGTGTTGCCTCTAATTTATGCTGGTTTGACATTTCCGGTTGTCTGTATACTATAAAGCCAATCCTACTGTTATGGGTGGAAGTATGCTTTAAGCTATTCTATTTTACTTGATGGACAACTATGTCACCCTTATTTATAGGTTAAGTACTGCTCAGAGAATAACAAGAGGCTCATCCACTTCTCTACGTGTGAAGTATATGGGAAGACGATAGGTAGCTATCTTCCGAAAGATAGCCCCCTGCGACAGGTGAGTTTCAAATCGTTGGTCCATGTTCATTTGATACTGTGAAATGTGTTCTTAGGACTGATCTCCAATTAGAGATAATGAAGTTGAATTATTATCGTTTAAGCTATTTAAGTAAATCATGCTGGATTTTCTTTCAAACCTCATTAAACATTCTCACCTCAGATGTAATGTCAATTGTTATGAAATTAAAATTCATAATTAGGAACATGAATGGGTGACATGTTTATTGGAAGTAGAAAGTAAGATTTGTTTTTGTTGCTTTGGTTGTGGAATTAACTGGGGGTTAACTGTTAGGTAGACTTGGTAGAGGTTGAATATTTGTTCTGTTGGTGGAATCTGTTTTTAGGGGGTGCTTGGTTGGGTTTAACAGGGAATGGTGGATGGAAATTAAAATCATTAATGGTGTCTGGTTTGATGCAGTGGGACAGGTCATTACCAATATCGAGTAATGAAGCATTCCTCGACAAATTGGGGGGAATGAATCTCGTTCTCATTTCCACTCACTGAAACGAATCAAACGCACCCTAGTTACATTCAATCAGGATTTCATTCAACACTCTCTCTACTTATTATATGATAACTTAGACTCTTAAGTCAGCCATCCGAATTGATTTTTATGTGATGAGATTCTAAAAAGAAGTTTCTAATCCTTGATTCTTGAGAGTTGCGTTAACATTTTGGTGATGATATTTTTCGTTGTAGTTACTCTAATTACATGGTGAACAGTTACATATACTAGTAGGTAAAAATCGGAGCTTGCTATGATATAGCTACTCTAATCGTGTATTTGTGTCGATTAGATGGCATCTTATTGCTGTATCTGCCATCTCCGTTTCTATGAATACTTCTACCTACAATATCCTGCCTATTTGTGCATGTGTTTTCCCTTTACAATCTTCTAGCTACTTCATTCTTTTTTGATAGGCAATCTTAGCTACTTTTCAATCACTTATTTGGACAATTATGTGTACAGGATCCTGCTTACTATATTCTTAAAGAAGATACTTCGCCATGCATATTTGGCTCAGTTGAGAAGCAGAGATGGTCATATGCATGTGCGAAACAGTTAATAGAGAGGCTAATCTATGGTGATCAAACTTAATCCATATTGTCTTTCATTTACTAATAGCACAAGCTGTGGCATGCTCACTCACTTTTTTTTTTTCTTCACAGCTGAGGGTGCAGAGAATGGTCTCGAGTTCACCATAGTAAGGCCTTTCAACTGGATTGGCCCTAGGATGGATTTCATTCCTGGGATTGATGGTCCGAGTGAGGGTGTTCCAAGGGTTTTGGCATGCTTTAGCAATGTTAGTTTAAACCTTAAATGCAGTGACTTGAGGATTTTTTAGTCTTATTTTCATTTTCTTGGAATACTAGGTACTAATGATGTTTATTTTTTCTACCCAGAACCTCCTCAGACGGGAGCCTCTCAAGCTTGTGGATGGGGGTGAATCACAAAGAACCTTTGTTTATATCAAGGATGCTATTGAAGCTGTCCTTTTGATGATTGTATGTTTAATCTTTTCTCTTTAACATATAGTCATACAGATAATCTTGTGTTTGACAAGTGTTGCTATTGTCTTCTCTGCCCTACTTCTCAGGAAAATCCAGCCAGAGCTAGTGGTCATATCTTCAATGTGGGAAATCCTAACAATGAAGTCACGGTTAGACAACTTGCAGAAATGATGACTCAGGTGAGTAAATCTTTTACCCTGCTAATGTGCATGCATTTTGTCATTTCGGCTTGCATAAGTATTTGAGGGGAAGCATATCCTGGGAAACTAAAGCGTGTTGATAAAATCAAGCTTGTTGTGTTTGTTCCCATGTATTGATATAGATCCTCTTGCTTTGGGCAGGTATATTCGAAGGTAAGCGGAGAAGATTCAATAGAGACTCCCACCATTGATGTCAGTTCCCAAGAATTTTATGGGGAAGGTTATGATGACAGTGACAAGAGAATTCCAGACATGACCATTATAAACAAACAATTAGGTTTGATCCTCTCCGCATCTTTGTTCTCAACTTGCTTTTGCAAAAAAATCTAATATAATTGGCATAGCTGTTTGTAAATTTGTCTAAGGATCCTTATGGATATTTAATGATGGCCCCTACCACAAAAGAAGAGCCCTCATAACCACGTGAGATTAGCAAGGATTGGAAGACAAATTTATTGGGCAAATGTAACACGGTTAAATACAAGTTAACAAAATGGCTCTTTATCTGACCTTTTAAAAAAGTAAGGATACTATAGGAACATCAAAGTTGTCTTTTATTCTAAGTTTTAGAAAGTAGAAAGATGAAAAACTACATTATTTGCTCTTCTTTCCAAAAAAAATCTACATTATATACTCCCTTGATGGTACTTCAGTATTACTAATTGGTAATTAACTGAAATAATAAAATACATATATCAGGAGATATTACTGTATTACAAATAATAGATATGAAATACATAAATCATAGCAGGATTCTTCTATTGGACAAAAGAATTGGGAAGTGGACTTTTTTTTCGTCTGGGACAGAGGGAGTAGCATGGGTATATGTAATCCAGCATGTATTGATACAATATGTACAAATGACTTGTTCAACCACTACCCTGATCATGATGTTAATCCTTTTTAACATGAACATGATAAGGTTGAACGCCATGAAATGAATTATAAAACGATATGTAGATTTACTGTGTAACTTTGGCATTTGTGAGGACAGTCTGCAGTACTAATAGCACCTGTTGCCAATGAAGCATAGACAATCACAGAATCAGACTGTTCTTTTGTTTTATGCGATGAAAATAATGTTTTAATCTTTTATTGATCTTCTAGATACTTTTTTCTACTAATACATACCACAAACTAACTGATGAAAGATGTCTGTTCTCTATGCTATATCAATACTCACCAGACCCTTAAAAAGATAGGACTTCTGATTCTGAAAAATTAAGCCTTGGAATTTGAGTTCCCATACTGACGTGGATCTGGATGTTTCTAGTTCTTTATTCTCAAAATCTAATACCTTGTTATAGTTTTAATGTAATAATCATTCTTTAATCTAATACCCGTACAAGTACAATAAAAATTGGAGGTGAACTCTTTATTTGGGATGCAGTAGTTCTCATGGGAAGTTGTTTTTAATGGATGCTAGGTTGGAATCCGAAGACATCACTTTGGGATTTGCTGGAATCCACACTTACATATCAACACAGGACATATGCTGAAGCCATCAAGCAAGCAATTGCAAAACCAGTAGCAAATTAAAAGAAAAGAAAAAGGATTCTGGCTCTCATGTTGTGAGCTGCAGCTGCTGTTTTGGTTCTTTCTCGAAGTCCCTATCGAATATCTATTTGGTTCATTCTACTCATCATATACACAACATTATCTTTTCTCCATACAACCTTCTTTTAGTTGGTCCCACAGTTGCCCAGAAATTTGTACTTTTAATGTGTAGTTAAAACTACCAAAGGAACTCTACCTGTGTGTACAACCAGAGAAAAAGAGAGCCTTGTTTTGCTCTCCCAAGTTCATCTATCGCTCTTCCTGCCAAGGTCAACTGTGTTGTATTCTTTTCTTGTTTAGAATTTCTTATAATTTATTATTTATTTCATCTTGTTCGGCTACCAGTAATGAAATAAACATGGTGTGGTATGTATTGTGACCCAGCATGATCTCACACCCACATTCTATTTTCAATGTTCCATGAAAAGTTGCCTGCTTCAATCCCTGACGATGCTTACCAACTTCTTTCTTGTTTTTGTTGAGATCAATTCCAATTTCCAAGTCCGGTTTCCCCTTTGTTAACCAAACCTCTCCTCAGGAGGGTAGATGGGGTGATTCAGGCAACATTTGGTGTTAGTGCTCATCCCTCCCCTCTTTTCATGGATCTCTTTTTTGGGGTTTGTTCATTTGTCGAACTAAAGGGCTGCTTGGTTGGTTTCTCATCAAGTTTTGTATAGATAAAGTTGTTTTTGTGGATTAATCTGTTGGGTAGGTCTTGGTTTGGGAGGATTTTTTCATAGATGGAAGTAGCTTGTTCTTTAATTAGGAGGGTTAGGTTTGGGAAAAAAAAACTTGCTTCATGCATAAAGCTCCTTTCTAAAAGCTTACTAAATAAATCATCTTTTGTATCATTAAGTCATTAGCAAATAATCACGTATATCTTATTGAATAAGCTACGAGTTCCATTTGTATCAATCAGCTGCATTGTGTTGATAAGTTCTCAGTTAACATCATAAATTTCGTTGTGTTCTCCAAGATGGATTATCTTCATCTTCACACGTTTTCTCTCGTGGGTAGGCATCTTTACCAAGGACCGTCACATGGAAGATCTGCTCATTTGCTCCTTCTGAATCCTTCAAACAGATGGCTTTTGGGGTTGGCACAATGCCGACTCCAATGAGAAAAATAATTGTAGATCAGATTCTCATGTATTTTTGTGCATCTCCAAAACGATACATGATGGGTTCTTTTTCTTTACATCTCCAAATGTTAATAGAAGGCAGAAGTTATGAATTATACATTTTCAGTCACCTTGTTTATTTTAAAAAATTGACGCATGATAGTTTTTTCAGAAAATCAATATATCATTTCAAAATATATGATAAGGGTTGTAGGTTCAAATACCATGCATTTAAGGTTCAATTATAACAAGTCAAGCATTGAAAGGTAAATGGTAGCATTGTAAGAGGACAAAATATCATGCATATGGTGTGATATCAAGCCAGAATCATTTTGCCAAATGTAGAAGATGAACAATTGTACGAGAAGCTTATTATCATGGCCTTTGAATAATTCTACAATCACTAACTCGGACCTGTTCGTTAGCTGTTTAATAAGCTTAATATGATAATACGATTCCCAACTTATTTGGTCAGCTATACATGAATTGTTTGGTAATGATTTATTCAGTAAGCTTCTAAAAGAATTTTATGTAGAAAACGATTTTTTTTAACTTGCGCCTCCTAATTAAAAACACTCTTTCCATCTATGAAAAAAACTCTTTCAAATAAAAATATTCTCATTTTATTCAGACAGATTAATTCACATAGACAACTTTATTCATACAGAACTTGATGAAAAACCAACCAAATATTCCTAGTTCTTGCAAGCTACCAACTATGTTGGCACTTAATGTTTGTACGTGTACTATTCGGATGATTTGGATTTCTAAGATGAAGTGCGTCATAATTAATTTGTTTCTAGGAGTCGTAAAATTGAATTAGTTAAAAACGAAAACATTTGTCCCTGATGTGTAGTCTAGTTGGCTCAAATGACGAGGAGATGTTTACTCAAAAAGTTGTTAGTCTCGGGTTCGAATCCAGGCCTCCTACTTTGCTGTTGGGTGAGTCTTAAGGGCTGTTTGACAATTTCTGAATGGTTTGGTGTAGAATGATTAAGTGGTCAGAATGATTAAGAAGCTCTTATAATATAATGTAAAATGAAATATAATTGTTTGGTAATTGTGTACAATGAAGTTAGGGCTCTTTTAATGGTTAAGGGAGATTCAGGATACAAAATCATTCAAAAAGTTTTAGAACCATTAAGAAGCAAACTTTTTTTTTGCCAAACAAGATTCACCTCTTAACGATTCAAAGATTGTCTCTTAATGAAACTATTAAGAGGTAAACAAACAACCTCTTATATAGTATACTCACACTGGGTGTCGTGTGGGACCGGTTAGGTTCCCGGTACTAAACCTTTTACTAAAAAGAATTTGGGTTGTAGAAAAAGGGTTGTGTCATCCACATCAATTCTATATCTAGTGCAAAGGTTTATTTCATTTTTATTTGTTGTGATACTGGTTGCCAAAACTGGTAAATGCATTTATTTTCTTGAAATGATTTCAATAAAGTAGCAAATAAAATCTAGCATAAATCAAATCCTTAGGATTATGGGGTGTTTGGGATTGCTTATTTGAAACAACTTATGTTTTTTTACAAAAGTAATTATCAACTTATTATAAGTCAGAAGAGTTTAACTTCTTCAAAAACTTTTTATTACTGGTTTAGCACCGGTATAAATTTTTTATCCAAACACGCAAAAGTGTTTATTATTGGTGTTACACCGGAATAAGTCAATAAGTTGTTTTTATAAGTAATGACAAACAACCTCTAAGGTCCATATAAGGTTTATTTTGGAATATTATTTTATTTAAAATTTATCTTAGAAGTTCGATTAAAAATTGTTATGCATTTGAATTTATGTTAGGTATTAAAATTTTGTATCGTATGTACTATTGAACTTTTTCATATTATATAACCTTTTTAATATCGATAACGTGTGCTCGTTAACTAGATCGATTTAGGACTGTCAACATGGCCCCTTGCCATATCACTTAATGTCCGGAGATCATAACTTCTTAACACTCGTTTTCAATTGTCCTTTGATACAATTGTAACTCAAACATGTTCTTTGGGTACCAGATCTCGATGTAATATCCTCAAAACGTATTCAGGAACAAGACACGTTTGCTTTTCGTTTCACATAAAAAATACCACTAAATCGTATATCGCAAAACAATTTGAGAAAATCATATAATCACTTAAACTGAAACTGATATCATCACTAACTTTCTTCTCAAAGCTGATCACATGTGCTCGATTTTAACTAGTCGATCGAGTCGCATGTCCTCTTTATTTCCTTCTGGTTTTTCCTTCGAGTTCTCCTTCTAAACTATCATTCTCTCTTTTTCTAATTCGTTTTCCAAGTTGTTCTGTGCGTGTGTATAAGTTATGAATGAAAAAAGAAATTTCATACAATCGTTTATATATTTGTTTTATGATCAGTATATCCTTAACTGTATAATCTTAAGTCTAAATCAAAATCGTTGTTTTGACAATCGTATTTATATCTACGTTATGACATAGAAACAAAAAAAACGTGATTGATCACACCTTGAAATGATGTATTTTCTTGATTATTAAAATTGAGCTTTCTTTATATTCTTGATCAGATCATTTTTATGATTAGTATCATCTGAGAAGATGAACTAATTCAAGATTCCTAATAACGGCAAACACATGATGCACACTGTGATACACTTCATAAAATAACGAAAAAACACAATGTGATACACTTAGTAGCAACATTACCTGACATATTGTGTTACATTTCGTAAAACAACAAAAACATATTGTGATACATTTCGTATAACGACAAAAATACATTGTGCTACATACTACGATTCTAGATCTGATTGATGAATATAACTGTGATACCATTATGTTACACTCGACGTTACATCTCCAAAGAGATCTAGGTTACATAAAAAAACCTTACATCTTATGCGTTACATCTTCGATGATATATGGATTACATCTCCGGCAAGATTTGGGTTCCGTCCTCTATCTGAAGTGAGATCTGAACAAAAACCAAAAACCGAAACCGATCTGGGTGTGCAGAAACCAAATACCTTGGTATATGAAAAATTGAAACCGATCTAGGTTGTTCAACAGGGGGAGTCGACCGGTGAAAGTGAGAGTTAAGGAAATGATGACCGGTGGTTGGAAACGGATAGAGAATAAGAAGCAACGGTGGCCGGAGATGGGTGGAGAAGGAGGCGTCAGACGGTGTTTTGTAAAGGGATCGGTGTAAAGTGTAACACCGGAAGATGAAGCACGTTTTGGCCGGCGATGGGGAAAGAGTCACATGTGGTGATCTCGTCCATTCATATATATATATATATAGGCCTATTCAAATGAGAACTAATTAGTTTGTGGTAACTGTGAGAACCAATATTAACCACAAATCAATAGATAAATTAGGAAATTTATAATTTTGGCTATTTTGAATTAAAATTTTAATGCAA